TTACGTTCTTATGTTAGAGATGTGATAGTCAACACATATGAGTATTCATGTTCCGTACCGATTTAAAGGTATCCGGTACTTTTGATACTCGGTGTCGGACAAAAAAATTAATAATAATAGTTTTATAATATACGCACGACAGCCACACATATGGAAGAATTTTTGATAGGTGAAGCCCATTAGCGAACTTTGAGGAGATATCGTATNCTCAGTAGTTATCGAAGTTTCAGTAAAGTTATGTGAACAATTATTATTCCTTTGAAAAAATGGACTGGTAAAATTATGCAACAAGTGATTTAAGTGTGCTTATATTACCAAGGTATAATGAATGGAATCGGTATCGGTTAGCAACACCTAAACTTTGAGTACCGAGTATTGCGGCAACTTTGCACATCACTATTTTTAAAAATGACACTTTCATCGATGTCAATTGCAGCACATATAAGAATTTCCTGAATGGCACGAATGTTTACGAGGCGGTAAGTTGCGTATTTTTGCTTGTAGTATTTTAATTTGATAGTTTTTGTCTTTCCTGTCAGCTCTTGTTGGAAATATACCACCCAGAACATTCATTCACTCAAGTACGGCATATTTGATACTCATAACCGAGTTCGCCGGAAAGATGAATGGGGAATTCGTGTATGCAGAATGGAAAGTGCGGAATTTTCATATGCAGGCGCTACTCGCAACACCAATTCCTCTCGGAAAAAGCCAACCAAGCATCGGGAAATGTGCATTAATCTAATATGAAGCTTTTATTCAACCCATATTATCTAACTAATATCTTTTCTTCTTTACAGCGCTTTTCGTATTCCGTCTTTGCCATCTTTGGCCCTACTTGGTTATAATTCATCTAAAACGTGCTACAACTTTTATATTTGGGTACTGAATACACCTAAAATAATAAATGCTTCAAGAAATCTTATTTTATGCAAATGCAGACCCGGTCTGCGGATGAGCCAATGAAACTTTGGTGAGTGTTAACTATCTTTTGCCTGGATCTTTCAGGCTAACCTAATATTCACGCACGCTGCCAATTTATTGTCATAAATTTCTCATGCCCATGCAACTTGTATGAGATCAACCGAAATTGAACGGCGTGCGTATGAAGCTAACTCAATTTCCAACTTTTGTTCTGCGTGACATTTTGATTTGACGTTTCGCTCAATGAAATCAAATGCAAACGCATGCAAGTCAATTTCGGGTGACGCAAAAAAACAAATTCGACGGCATGCGTACCAAAACGCAAGCCGCGAATATTAGGTTAGCCTGTAAGTTTGTGCATGCATACATATGTCCATAGTTGCCAACTTGGTGCTTTAAGCACCAGATTTAGTGCTTTTTGAAAATTTAAATGCCAAAAACAATTATTTAGTGCCTAGTGCCCTTTTTAGTACCTTTTTTCTGAACTAAAATTACTTCGAGATAGTTAAAACCTGCAATAATTTAAAATATTTAAGGCTGTGGCAGCACTGAATTTACAAGCATCTACAAATTGAAATGGACTAAAATACAACCATGATTGATAAAAAAGTTGCAAACCCACCTTGTTAAATTCTATTCACGTTGAAAATGCTAGTACGCAAGTATGTTAAGTATTTGTTTTTCTTTTTCTAATTATTTGTAAATTTTTTTGAGTAAAACACATCGTTTCTTGGTGCTGAATCCAAATCTGACCTCACATTTGCTCTAGCACTAGAATAATGAGATATCCTAACCTCAAAGTGCCAAAACCACGGGTTTTAGAGATATTTGAGGTTATATAATGAAAAACGTCAAATTATTTGCTCATTTCTAATCAGGGCATCATTTTCGTTTGATGCGATTCGATTTTTCTTTCTCGAGATATACCAGTTTTAATGTGAAGTACTTCGGCATTATGTTATGAAAAAGGTATCCCTGGATGCTTTTAGAAAATGAAAAGATGGCAACACTGCATATGTCTATATATTTTGTTGAGTAGGCATTGGTACCATATATTTCTATTGGGGCCATAAAATAGTTCTAATGTCTTCGAAGCTTCGAGATTCGAATTTGGGTCGAATTTTAGCTCCAAACTGGCGAATTTTCGAAATCGAACTTTGTGGTGCTGAAATTCGGATAAAAATCGATGTTTTTTTTTGTTATAAACAAAAAAACGAATTTCGTCTTTCTGACGCATTTGCCAATAATGTGGCTCGAATAGAACTGCTCGTCTTGTGTACTTAAGTATGTAACGTGAAGTTCGTACAAATCTCTCTTGCTCTTGTGGAGCACGAAAAATAAAGTACACTATACTTCTCAAAAGATTAGTTTCAATATAATTTTTTTTTTTAATTTTTAATTTATACAACGAAAATACATATAAATTTTTGGATTTTTCGCTGATATATTTCGAGAAAGAAGTACTTGTTATTTGTTTTTACTTTTGGTTGTGAAGATAGGCTGCGGATAATTAATCACTTCAGTGTAAGTTCAATTGCTGGTCTCTTTTTCGATTTGAACTATCATTACAGACAAACTTTTAAATTTTTCAGTAAAAGGTTGTTGAAAATTTGAAAAAATACAGATTAAATCGAATTTGTATCACCATTTATCGAATCGAATAATCGAATGGTTGGGTAATATTCGACATTCGGAAGAAATCGAATTGCAACCCCCCCTCCCCATCACTAATGCTAAATTACATAACTTTCAGTGTGACGGAATCACATGATTATTTTGTATTGCTTAGGTACGCATACTTCAGACATGCGCTTTCGAAGCTACTCGTATCGATGATTCGGTAACTGGAATATTTGCCATTTGAGATGTGGGATTGCGTAGGGCGTTGAGAAGTGGAATTCGCGATGGTTGTTACGACGACGTAGATGATGAGACAGAGTGGCTGGGTTGTTCCTCATCCTGTTCTCTATATGGCGGCAATAAGACCAATTTTACTAATGGCCTTGTGACTTGCCCTCTTTCGGTCATGACCTCCACGACTCGTACGCGGTTATCTGAACCTGGGTGTAGGTTAACGATTCTACCTAATCTCCACTCGTTAGGTGGTAGGTTGTCCTCCTTAATAACGACGAGGTCTCCATTTTTCAAGTTGGCTTGTGGGTATTTCCACTTATTGCGCTTTTGGAGTTCCGACAGGTATTCTGTTTTCCACCTCTTGCAGAACGTATGGTGTAGAGCCTTCAGTCTTTGCCAACGATTCACAATCGACGCACGGTGTTCATCAGCGTCGATTTCAGGAGGAGCAAGAAGGTGCCCGCCGACTAAGAAGTGACCTGGAGTAAGTGGCTCTAAGTCTGAGGGTTGGTTTGAAGAGGGACTGAGGGGTCGCGAGTTGAGGCATGACTCAACTCTGCATAGAAGGGTCGTAAATTCTTCGAATGTATATTTATAGTTTGAAGCGATTTTTGTGAAGTGGCATTTAAAACTTTTGACTCCCGCCTCCCACAATCCACCCATGTGGGGAGCTGCGGCGGGAATGAAATGCCATGTAAGCATTTGATGGGTGTATTTTGTTATGGTGTTATTGCGGGCTTCGGCCATAAAGGCTTTGAATTCTGATCTTAGCGATCGCGAAGCTCCGACAAAGTTGGTACCGTTGTCGGAGTAGACATTTTTTGGGCACCCTCGCCTCCCCACGAATCTTGCAAATGCTGCCAAGAATGACTGTGTGCTTAAATCAGAGGTGGCTTCCAAATGGATCGCCTTGGTTGCAAAGCACACAAACAGACATACGTACCCCTTAGACACCCTGCAACCTCGTCCGTTGTAGTTCTTTATGTCGAAAGGTCCGGTGAAGTCGACACCTGTGTTAGTAAACGCGCGTGAAAATGTGGTGCGTTCTTTAGGAAGAATGCCCATAAGCTGCGTTTGCGACCGTTTTCGGTAGATCGTACAGATCTTACAGTTGTGAATTGTCGATTTGATCATATTCTGGACTCGAGGTATCCAATATTGCGTTCTAATCAAGCGCAACATAAGCTGATTCTCACCATGCAGTGATACTTTGTGAACGAACTGGACTATAAGACGAGACAAGTTGCTATTATATGGAAGGATAATTGGGTGGCGCTCGTTATAAGCGAGATCTAAAGATTTTCCAAGGCGACCACCTGTCCTAATTATATTTTCCTTGTCGATGTATGGGTTCAGGGACAAGATTTCACTTTTTGGACTTATTAATTTTGCCGATCTCAGTGATGAGTACTCCTGACCATAATGCTGCTTCTGGCAGATAATTATTAAGCGTTGAGTCGTTGCTTTGATTTCATCAGCTGAAATCGAACAAGATTCCGCTTGAAATGAAGCTCTAGTGTTACGGCGAGTTCTTTGGGAGAATCTCAGTACGTATGATAGAACTCTCAAAGCTCTCGGTAGATCGGAAAATCTTTCAAGAATATCATTACTAATATCGACTGCCGTGGTCGCATGAACCTGTACCCTTTTTTGTTCTAACTGTGTCTTATAGTCCTTTTCCTGTGTGGGCCATTGTGTTCTTTCTTCTTGCAACCAAGAAGGACCCTCCCACCACAAGGAAGAGGCTACCAATTCTTGCGCAATAATACCCCTGCTAGCTAAATCTGATGGATTTGATGCTGAATCCACATGGAGCCAATTTTGGCTTCCAACTTTCTCAATGATTTTTGTTACGCGATGGGCAACAAATGTTGACCATGAGCAGGGAGGTTTTCGAATCCAGGCTAGGACAATAGTCGAATCTGTCCACAGATGTGTGGTAAACTGGCCTAAAGTGAGATTGCTAACGATCGATTCAACAAGTTCTGCAAGCAGAACAGCACCGCACAGCTCCAATCGTGGTAACGAAATAGTTTTGACCGGTGCCACTCTGGACTTAGCCAGTAGAAGATTGACAAATACCTTTTCCGCTTTTTGAACCCGAAGAAAAATAGTGGCTGCGTATGCCTTTTCTGAGGCATCGCAGAAGCCATGAAGTTCTATTTTATCTGTAGGAGAAAAGTATACCCAACGAGGAATACGAATTTTGTCGATGTGGCAGTAGCTCTCTACAAAGTTTTGCCAACGATCGGACGATGCAGTTGAGACAATTTCGTCCCAACCTGTTCCTTCCAACCAAATGTCTTGCATTATAATTTTTGCTGTAACTACAAATGGCGCGAGCCATCCTAATGGGTCAAATAATTTTGCAATAGCCGAAAGTATTGCTCTTTTTGTAAAGCGAACCTCAGTCTCCAATGGCTTGGCAGTAAAATAAAACTTATCAGAATGGGCATTCCATCTGATGCCCAACGCCTTGACGGTACTGGTGTCCTCAAAATCCAAAAAATCTTCGTTTAAAAGGTGTGATTTGGGTAATCCTTCCAGTATTTTTTCGCAGTTGGATGTCCATTTTCGTAGCGGGAATCCAGCAGATTGTAAAACCATTGATACCTCGTCTTTAGCTTTGATGGTAGATTCGATGGTGTGTCCTCCTGCTAAAACATCGTCGACATACATACATTTTTTCAATATATCTGAAGCTACAGGATATAGACTCTCTACATCGTCAGCTAATTGAAGTAGGGTTCTAATTGCTAAGTAAGGTGCGCAATTAACACCGAAGGTAACCGTGTTCAGTTCATATAAATTAATTGGTTCGCTTGAGCTTTTTCGGAAAACAATACGTTGATATTTGGTTTGATCAGGGTTTAATAAAATTTGGCGATACATCTTTTCGATGTCGCTGTTAAACACATATTGAAATAGTCTCCACCGTAATATTAAAATTGTCAAGTCACTTTGCAGGACTGGACCTGGGTGGAGGATGTCGTTGAGACTGACTCCGTTTGCAGTCGGACACGATGCGTTAAAGACTACTCGCACTTTGGTGGTAGTGCTTTCCTCTTTCCTGACAGCATGATGAGGTAGGAAGTAGTTCTCACATTCGTCTCCAGGAATATGTTCAGGAATCCGAGTCATGTGTCCCAATGTCTCGTATTCAGACAAGACCCTATTGTATTCTGTTTGTAAAGGTGGATCCTTTGCTAAACGCGTTTCACTTCGAAAAAATTGTGAGCAAGCGATCTTAAGTGACGGACCTAATCGTACGTTAGTTGGAAAATCCTGTTTGAACGGCAGTGACACAATATATTTGCCTGCTTTATTCCGTTTAGTAGTGCTTTTATAAAGTTCCTCGCAATAGGTTTCATCTTTGTTGTAGGTCTTATTTCTTGGGATATCTTCCAATTCCCAAAAGGACGCTAAGCGTTTGTCTAAATTTATTTCGCTAAAAAATGATACGCACTTATTCGCTGGGGTACTTGTGTCAGTTTGACCGGTGAGAATCCAGCCGAAGACGGTTTCCTGAGCAAGAAGAGTTCCCAGTACGTCTTTCCTGATACCGCCTAGCATTATTTGTGCGTAAATGTCTCCACCGAGGACAAGATCAACTTGCTCACTTACAAAAAATCTCTTGTCTGCTAAAACTAACTCTGGAAACGCTTGCTTAGTCCTAGCATCGATTTGGCAAGTCGGCAGATTTCCAGTTAATTGTGGTAATACTAACACGGTGGTATCTATATTGATCAGTGGGTCAATTGGTGACCGCAGTTGTATGAAACACGCCTCTTTTACTTGAGCTGAGACTGTGTTATTTATTCCAGATACTTGAGCTTGTATCCTCCTCGAGGGCAGATTAATCCTACGCTTAAGTCTTTCAGTAATGAAAGAGCACTCCGATCCGGAATCTATTAGAGCGCGGGCCGAAAAATTTGTATTATTAAAATATATATTGACTCGGGCGGTCCCTAATAGAATTCCTATGTTGGTATTAGCAAAGCAGGATTGGACATTTTGGGTTGGTCCTTTGTTTGCTTTGGAAGCATCGTGTCTTGCCTGAGCTTGAGCAGAAGTTGACGCGATGTTCTCTAACCCATCGGATACGTTTGTTTGATGCCTTTGGTTCATAGTTGCTTTTGGCTGAAATGCTTGAATGTGAAGGAGCGTGTGGTGTCTTTGGTGACAGACGCTGCAATTAAATGAGCATGTACACCTAGTCACAGTATGTCCAGAAGATAAGCAATTCAAGCAACCATGATTATTTTTAATGAAGGCGATTCTGTCTGCCGTTGTTATTTTAAGAAATTTTTGGCATTTTGACAGTTTGTGATTATTGCCTTTACAAAATTTGCACAGAATCTTGGCTACGCTTGCTTGGTAGGCCCCGTGCCTTTTCTGAGTTTCATTGTTTTTGCTATTTTGGGGCTTTGAAAATCGAGGGTGTTTTACAGCTTTAATATCTGATATTGTTTCAAGTGTTTGAAACCTATTAGAGAGGAATTTATCCATATCCTCCCACTTGGCAATTTCGGTTTTATTTTCAATTGTTTGTTCCCAAAGAGCCAACGTACTCTCTGGCAATTTCGTGGAGCAGAGATATGTAACGATGGCGTCCCAATTGGATACGTCAATTTGATGACATCGCAAAGCCGATAAACAATTATTAATATTTCGCTGTAACTTTTTTAATGAAGTACCGCACTCACTTTCTACTGACTCTAGGTTAAAAAGAATCTTTATCTGCGAATTCACTAGAATGCGTTTATTCTCGAACCTATCACAAAGGTTTTTCCATGCAGTATTGAAGCCCTCGTTTGTAACATCACATTTGCTAACTATCTCTTTGGCCTCCCCCTGAGTTTTCTGGTTCAAATGAAACAACTTTTCTACAGGAGTGAGGCGCTTATTATTGATATAAATGGCCGTAAACATGTCACGGAATGTAGGCCACGAGAGATAATCGCCTTTGAACACATCCGTATCACACGGTGGGAGATGGATGTTGTGTTCTCTGGCCGACATATCCTCGGTATCTTTGTCACTTTTGACGAGCTTCGCATGGAGTTCTGCCATGTTCGACATGCAGCGCAGATAAGTAGAATAGGTACTTTTATACTTAGCCTTCACTGAGGCTGATTTTGCTTCTACCGCACCTGAACTCAAATACTCTTCGTACGCTATCTTTGCTTTCCTCCACATGGCTTTCAGTTCCTCTTGCTGGATGGCAAGAGTGTATTTTGTGTGCTCCGTTTCAGTCATGCTATTGTAGTCGGCCTCAAACTCAGGCACAACATCAGCTAATCGGATAAATGTTTCCATTTTTAAGATCCTAATGAAAATAAGTTACGAGAGCACTTCGAAAATTATAACTTTCCCAAAGTTTTAAGCGAATAAACCACCACAATCAAATAAGTTAACACCGCAATTTAGGTGCAATTTCGCACGGATATCAAATTATTTATTAAATATCAAGCGTAATATATGTATGTAAATATATGTATTTATGTATACTCGCGCACACTAATGAAAATCTTCTAAGATTACAGGAACTGATACTCGCCACCCAACTCTCAGCGAAATATTTGTGTATAAATGTGAAATAATTCAACTGTGCTACGCATATATTATTTTTGTTGATTAATCGTTCAAAGTGATCTTGTGGATGCAGAATTGCAGAAGTTAAAAAGTGTCCCAATGTGAAACCAAATGTGTGTAACAAGTGCAGTCACAAGTGAGGTTATGTATCCTCAACTCAGTGAATTGTTGTTAGTGCCGATGATTTGACCAATTAACAAATGCTTGCAACACGATTGTTTGAAAATATTGAAAGCAAACTCGATGTGAAAAATAATAAAATCGATGTTTTGCAAATTTGAAATAAGTGATTTTGAAAACACGAAACTAAATATAATAAAAAAACAAAAAAAACTTGTAAAAAGTGTGCTCGCTATAAATTAAGGTTACACTAACAACTGAGGTGGTGTTAAGCACAGAAAAATCTACTCTAACCCACACTTGTGTATTGCTGCAGATATTTGTTCACAACGTTATTTACTAATTAAGTGCGAAAGAACACAAAAAGTGATATCAATGCACTGATGATTTCCACAAGATCACTCGCGATAATTTTGGATATGCGCAGGTTTTTGGTATTTTAAATATTTGCCGTATTACGTATACGAGAATGTGCAAGAAATTTGAAATGTCAACCACATACCTTTAAAACTCCTGAATGTTTTTTAATGTGGTGCTGGTGCTTAATTTGGGTGTTGTGTACTGATGTGGTACGTTCCCGACTTATTGTAACTTCACGCTGGTGTTTGTGGCAATTCTCCAGTTGATGCTGGCGGACGGTTGTATACGCAGATGTAATAATCTGGAGACCGCTAGTGACCCTTGACCGCTGGTATATTCAAAGAATGGCGCCTTTGTTTAGCTGCAGTGGACTGTATTTGCTTTGCTCTGGTTAATTATAGTTCCTGGCGAAGATGGACCATGAAAAACCCTGGCGACTTAATGGGTATAGACTCGATAAGTGCACCAGTGTTTTTTATTGGAAAAATAAGAAAACAAAAGCACCAGGTTTTAGTTTGAAATACAATTAAGTTTGACGGTTTATTTAATAGGTATATTAAAATTCAAGGGGGCTTACAATATTACCTTGATTATGAAGTGGTGTGGTGGCGGAACGTCCGTAATCGCTGGTGATTGAAATCCAATAGAAAGTTTAAAAAGTTAGAAACTGAAGTCGAACCCTCTAAACGGTTTGAAGAGTTCCGTTTTCAGGGGAAATTTAACGAAAGTGCACTGACAGGAAAAGTGCAGTTTTTCTTTTTGTCTTGTTTCACATACGAATGTGTATGTGTGTGCATCTGTTAAATTAACATTAGGGTGGTACACCCGATAATTTAATTTAAGTATTTGATTTAGCGTGGAGGCCTAAACACCGCACGAATTGCGAAACGGAAATATAGACCCGATATATAACGTTGAAAACTATGCAAAAGAGGTTAAATATCGTATGCGAAAATCACATGCAATAGCCAAGAAATTAGTCAATAAACATAAAGTCCGTAACAAAGATGTATACGATAGACACTCTCGTCCAGTACAATTAAAAGAACACGATCTTGTTCTAATACAAAAAGAGCCCAGAGTCAAGCACGAAAGCATATATCAAGGGCCACACGTTGTACAAAAAGTAGAGGGTGCAAACGTTACGGTTTTCGACAAAACCAAAAATAAATAAAAAACGGTTCACAAAAACCGCATTCAAAAAGTCACATAACTTTCTTTTTAATGAATTTATTTAAAAGTACTAGTAAGCTTCAAAATTTGACCCGAAATGAATCAGTCACGTCACACAATATATAAATGCAAACTATTATTAGAGTTACAAATTAAGCCGTAGAATTAATCAAAATATGTACATGTGTATAAACATTGCAGACTCAAGAATTGTATTGTAAATCTGATTTGAAAGAACGCAAAAAAAGTTTTTTCTGAATGTATGTATATCATTTCATGGGTTCAAACCTTGGTCAAAGCAACATCGCAAAAATATAGGAAAAGGTTTTTTCTTAACAGCGGTCGTCCCTCGGCAGGCAATGACAAACCTCCGAGTGTATTTCTGCCATGAAAAACAGCTTCTCATAAAAATACAATCGCCGTTCGGAGTCGGCGTAAAACTTACTCTAACATATGTGTAAGCGCCAATCTATTATTATTATTATTATATCATTTAAATCAAATTTTGGCTTAATAAACCTTACACATAAGTATATTTTATATGGCATTAATTTAAGACAATAGTCACATTAATAACAAAAAAGAAACAAGAGCCGAATTAGTAGAATACAAAAAGTCAATATGTATTAATTTTTATACAAATAGTTATGTACATTCATATTTACAAATCCATATATTGCATCCATTAGTAAATAAGAAAAAAAAACAAATTTTTAACTCACACTTATGTATATTCCTTAATATCAAATTGATATTTTAAATTNTTATACAAATAGTTATGTACATTCATATTTACAAATCCATATATTGCATCGATTAGTAAATAAGAAAAAAAAAACAAATTTTTAACTCACACTTATGTATATTCCTTATTATCAAATTGATATTTTAAATAAACACAATTGGATAAGTAGTTACGATAATAGTGTTAATTCTTTAAAATACGTTTTGAGCTCTCAATCGCAACAGAAAGTTGATATGGATGAACGAGTTAAAGGGGAAGGAAACAAACCTACAAAATTACTAATAGATATCTCGTTCCTCCCTATCAATTCGGCATTACCCTTGAATCGAACGATCACCTTGCAAAAATCTCTTCTCAAAGAGGGTGATGTAATGGCATTGCTAACAATACGGCATCACTATTCAGCGCCGTCGTAATGTTGGTAGCCCTGTTGGAACATACGTGACTAAATAAAATTATTTTAAAAGTTGTAACAAACCAATTACACGTGTTTTATTAAAAGCGAAGTAGTTTTTCGGGCGTGTAAAACTAATTAAATTTAATTTTTCGTTCAACAATTTTTATTGAGCTCGAGGCCGTTTTTTCAATGAAAACTTATTGTGGAAAAGCAACAATAATTTGAAAAAATGGTAGAAGTGATAGCTATTTCGGAAATCACCACATTTCCTCATCAGACTTCTTTCAGTAGG